CAAAATACTTGTGGGACGCCACTGGAACTGTTTTGTAGCAAGTCTTGCTGCAGAAATATAAATCTTCAGGATCATTGATCAGATCACGATTGTCGTCATTTGGAAGAAGAGGAAACTCTGAAGCTTTCGCTCTGATCAAACTATTAAGAATTACCACATCGCAATGTCTGCAGAATTTGGCAGTACCATTCAGTATAGTTTGGATATCAATGGGAGCTGCAAAAATAAATGGATTGTATAAAAAAAATAACATAAACATCGATTATAAATGTTTTAGTGTCTGAATATAATTGTACCTCCTTCTTTTCCATCTTTTCCTCTCGTCCTATACAATCCCAATTTCTGGCTGGGTGGTGTTCCGGTTCTTTCAACAATTTGATACCCTGTTGGAGGCGGAATGTGCAGAATGCCAGCCAAGTCTTTCAAAACTCCCAAAATATCTTCGGCTGCATCCGAAGTTAGTGTTAAAGTGACTGTGACGTTATTGCCGTCGTCCTTCTTCTTATTGTTCATGATGTTGTTGAGATTGTTGTTTTTCAAATTATCTTTGGGAGCTTGATTCTCCTGAAAAAAAAGATAAAGTTATAATTTCTTCAAATGTTTGAACTTCAATTGAAAGCTTATTTTTTATTCTAGATGATTTATACCTTGTCTTCATTAATATTTGTACTCCATGGTGTTTTGTAAGGCACTCCAGGTTTCAACCTGATAGGAATAGGTGCTATAATTGGTATAATCGGTGACAATCTGTTTTTAGCAGTACGTCCATTTAAACCTTCTTGTTCCGATTGCTCTGATTCATTATCATCAATATACTTCAAACCTGCCGAATATAAAAAACATATATTGCACCTAAATACTAGAGATAATACTCAAATCATTTTTTTTACAACCTGGATATTTGTCTTTTTTTATTTGATCTATTACTGTGAAGTATTGATTATTGTCTAAATCGAGTGTATTTTCAACGTCATTTGGAAATTCTGGACTTGAAGAACTTATTATGGAATCAGGTGTGTCAGGACCTGGATCGCGAAGACAAATTTCCATTCGGCGCTCTTCGTAATCATGTTCGAATTTTATTGGGCTGAATTCCTGTTGCAAAAAGATTACGATTTGAAGATAAAATACCAAATGCATGCAAAAAGCGAGCATTAGTTAATAGTTAAAATCTTACCTGATCGTAGAACATTCTCTGAGTTCCTCCTGCCGATGTTAATGCTCCATCTTTTTCACAAGCCGCGGCGGGTAATGCCTTATCGCCGAACGGTTTGCTATCATATCTATCAGGAACACCAGGCAAACGTGCAGATCCGAATTCGCCAACGAGGTCGCCTCGTAACGAATCGTAGTCTTTGACTAGACAGAATTTAGATAAATCACCGGCGCCATAAGGCGGGCAAACTGCATAGTTCCTGGACAACAAACAACAAACAACAAATTATATAACGACAATAAATTTTAATAACTAGTTGGTTTGGTATTTAGCCTCGAGGCAAGTTACATGAACTTCCCGATATGTGTAATTAATCGACTTAATCAATAAAAAATAATTTAATTGATGAGTCATTAAAAGTATTTCGAGTGGACTTATTACACATGATTGAAAACGAACGAACACTTTGACTCGGAGTATTTTCTAATAGCAAATTTTCAAAAATCACCAGTTTCAAATTGAACCAGTTTCCATAGGACTTTAATGGTTTACTATGTTCATGAAAACCAAGTACTCCATCGTTATACCAAGTAAATCGTCTAATTTTAATTTTAACAAACGTCAAAAAAACTACTCATTTTCTTAATCTTTAATTAATTTTTAAAATTAAACTACTTGTCCTAAGGACGTGATATTTCAGTAAGTTCTATAAGACCATGATATATATCGCCAAAAAAAGTTCCATGAAAATCGGCTTAATTTTTTTTTCAACAGTTAATTACAAGAAAACGGCTCGGTAGATTTTCACCTAAAACTAATCAGTATCATTCCCAACTAATATCCTTCGAACAGTTTTCGATTTTTTAAAATCGATTCGGTAGTTTGAGCGTGAATGTGGTCGAAAAGTTTAACACTTATTTTCAAATTACAAAGAAACGGCTGGGCAGATCGCCTCACAAAACTGACAATGGTCCTCATTGAGATACATCAAATGGCTTTTAAATTTCTGAAATCGGTTCAGGCGTTTTTGAGAAAACTAAAAAAATCATAAAAATCGTCGAAATGTTTTTTTTTAAAAACTTTATTACAAGAAAACGGCCCGGCCGATCTTTACCAAAAACTAATCAGCACGATTCCCAATCAATATCTATCGAACGGTTTTTGAATTTTCAAAATCGATTCAGAATTGCGGGCTAAAACGTGGACGAAAAATGTTTCACTCTTCTGCGATTTACAAAGAAACGGCCCGGCCGATCGTCGCACAAGACTGAGAAACGCTAGTCCTCATCGAGATACATCGAATGGCTTTTAAATTTTTGAAATCGATCCAGCCGTTTTTGAGAAAACGTCGATTTACGGCAAAAAATCTGTTCACATACATACACACACACATACTTTTTCGAAATGTTGGTCTCATTCGATTCAGAATGGCTTGAAACGTCGAGAAAACATAAAATTAGCAAGTCGGATTTTTTGATGAAAACATAAACTTCTCCTTCGGGAAGTTAATAATCTGATCAAAGTCTTTTATTATAATAATTACCTGCAATGCCTGGGCTCGACGACGGCCAGTGGCTGCATATGCCTCAATTGATCCATTAAACCGTCTATAAACGAATCATAATCCTCGTCCTGCTTTCCCGCCCCGCTCATTTTCGAATTAGCCCTGCTCTTTTTCTTGGCCACGGCAACAGCTGATGCTCCCATCGCGTCCGGCATTTCATGGGGCCACCACTTCCCTGCGCCATTGACAATCCCTGATGCTGTGCGGCTGCTGCAGCGGCGGCCGCGGCTTGCTGCTGCTGCTCCAGCTTTATTTGCCTGCGCTTGGCTTGATATTCGCGCCGTTTGCGCTTCTTGATTTCCAACGCGGTTTCGTGTGCGGTTCGCATCGCCGCCTCGTTCTGCTGCTGCTGCTGCTCCAGGGTCAGCGCAGGCGGTGCCGTTGAGGCCGGCGTCGTGTCCATGATAAACTCCTCTTTGATAACGGTATCTTTCAAACTGCAGTGGTCTGACGAGACCGAAGACTGCTGAGAACTCTCGTCTAACGACAACTCCTTTTTGACATCTTGGGAAGGAATTATCATGTTGTGCACGGGGCTTTGCAAAGCATCCGGCGTCAAAATCTCTTTCTTTATCGTAATGCTTTGATGTTGTTCCATGTGTTGTTGTTGTTGTTGTTGAGAAGTTGCCGGCATGCAATTCATATCCATCTTCAGCTGCTGAATCAGTTGCTGTTGTTGACTGTTTATTAATAAATCTTGATGCTGTTGTTGTTGTAGTTGCTGCTGCTGCTGCTGTTGCTGTTGCACAATTCTTCTCACTTCAACATGCTGTTGCTGTTGCTGCTGTTGTTGCTGCGTTGTTTGCTGCGGCGTTCCGGTAACAACGGTATTAGCCGAAGTCGTAACAACAGGAGATCTGGATAAAAATGACGTTTCCCGTGACATGATTTGCCTGACGGGCGAAGATTTGGGTGAATCGCTCTGTGTGACATGCTGCATAGGCATAGATGCTGTGGCCTGAGCAGATGCCTGCAAAGCAGTTGTCGGAGGTGGTATAACAGGCCTTGCCAATTGTGCTTCTAAAGACGAAACCAATCCCAAACTTGGTGCACGTTGTTGCGTTTTCAGAACCTGTACAGTCGACCTTTGCGGTGGAGAAATCAATGTTTGATTATTCGAATGTGTAACTTGTTGCTGCTGCTGCTGTTGCGGCTGTTGTTGTTGATGATGATGCTGCGATGGTGTTGGGTTTACAGCAACGGGCGGAGGCGGAGGCGGTGGTGCTGCTCCATTATTAGAATTCTGCAACAGCTGTTTCAATAATACATTCTGCGAATCTGAAGAAGTTTCAGGTTTCACATACTTGACATTACTCATCATAATTTCAGTTTTAATTTGCGACGATGATATCGTGCTGTCGTCCGACGTCGACGTAGGTTCGTTTTTGACAGTCATTAAATCCATGCTATGTCTCTTCACGGCTTGAATATGTCCAGGTTCAGTTTTAACAGGTAACAATACTTCGTCGGTCGACTTTGATCTTCTAAATGGAGGTCCAGTTAATTGACTATGCAGAAGAGTTTGGCATGATGACATTTGTGGTTGTTGAACAACTTTTTGTTGTTGTATATTACTAAGCCCAGCACTTTGCTGCTGCTGCTGTTGCTGCTGTGTGGAAGTTGCTAGTAGCTGAGGTGGTTCTGCAATAAGCCTACTGGTCATTATCAAAGCGGGTGGTTGATTCGTGCTAAAGGTACTGACTCTGGATTGAGCAGGCTGTGAAAGTGTTGAACTCAAAATATTGCTAGCTACAGTAGGCCTTGCAGTCGTGTCCACTTGCATTTTCTGAGGTTGTATCTTTGTTAAATTAGGCATAACCATGCCAGTATTACCTGCGCTAGAGGTTTGTTGCTGCTGAATGTGTAAAATTTTAGGTGAATGTAATGGAGACTTCACAGCGAGCAATTGACAATGTTTAGAAGAGCTGCCTTCAACAGTAGACGGAGAAGGTTTGCGCTGTTTCATACTTAAAAGAACCGCTGCATTTGCTGTGTTTGTAACAACAGGAGACACTGTTCTTGAAGACGATTGGACAGTCATCCTGTTTCCACTCATTAAAATAGAACCAACAAAACCGCCTGCAGATGCTTCACTCGATGTCAGAACTTTTGTGACATGTGGCTTAGAACTCAATAATTTTCCTGCATCCTGCTGCAATGTCAGTTTCATTAGAGGTCTTTGTTGTTGCGGATGCTCTGTGGTCTTATGTACAACTTCTACCTTGGTAGATGGTAAGAGTGTTTCAAAGTTAACTAGATCCGATTTCGAAGCTTCTTTAGCTTTCAAGTCAAACTTTGTGTTTGTGCCAATTGCTGACATTATTGTACACAACTGCTGAGAAGCATTAGCAACATTTGAAGTCAACTCAGCAGGCTGGGATAGTGGTGATAGTTGCGGCATTATCGAAGACACGCGTGATATTGGACTTTGTGATGACTCTCGAGATTTAATAATTACATGCACTGGAATAACACTAGGAGGCTTGGTGGTGCTAGGTACAATTGCCGTTGCTTCTTTTTCTTTAATGTCCTTTTGAATTATATCATTCAAGTCAGCCATAGAATCTTGTGAATGATCACTTAATGCTGATACTAAATCATCATTAGATTTTGTAACCGAAGACTTTGGAGAATCCAAAAGCGGACAGTCAGTTTTATTGTCCCCAGTAATTGTTTCCAACATATTTAACATTTCTTCAAATTGATCATCTTTGCAAATTGTGTCTTTGCTTTTTTCACCAGATTCATTATGAATTGTTATTGTATTAGTCTCGTCAGTGGCTGAACAAAGAGTTATTGTGGGTGCATCTTCAACAGCCGTAGGCTTAGATTTTTCTAAGACAATTTCTTCCTGCTTCTTAATTTCAACTTGTGTATCCTCAGCCTCATTGCTAGAGGATGTCTTTTCAATACTGGTTATGGATGCTTCATCCACATCCATTGACTTTATACTTTTGTTCATTTCTAAATCATCTTGATCACCACTACTATCTGGACTTTCATCATCAAAAATATTTTTGGGTAAAGCCATATCTTTTGAAACTGTGAGAGAAGATAATTTTGGATAAATAATTTGATGATGTGACAAGAGTTTTTCTTTCATTTTAGCATCGACTACCAAGCTGCTTGTGGATATCTTTGGATTGCTTATTGTATAAGAATTTGAGGTTGATATTCTAGTACCACTTGAAATAACACTGATCAAAGTTGGAATGGATTTTGTAAAAACTACATTGTTTGATGATTTCTGGATATTTTCTGTACAAATTCTACTAGTTGATGAAGTAGCCAATGGTACAGTTGTCAGTACAGGCACAGAGATAGTAGTATTTCCAATGGATACAGTCGCAGTAGTTTGTGAAACATCATTCATCAATTTCTTAGGTCTCGGGGAGATTACTTTTGGATTTACAATAGGCAGCCTGGTAACTGATAATGGCTTGCTGGTTGTCAAGATTTGTGTAGTATCAGCTTTAATAATACTTGCAATTATTTGAGTGTTAACAGAATTTGAAGTGACTGTAGTCTCAGAAAAACTAGTCGCTTTATCAGATTCTGTCTTAGAAGTTGAAGCGTCCTCTTCTTGAACTGGGCTCTCTCTGCTGGTACCTCGTTTCTTACCGCAGTCAATCAGTTCTTCAAAATCTTCTGTCGTGGCAATATTATGTTCTTCTGGTGACTTAATGCTAGGATCAATAATCACTATTTCTGAACCGTGTTCCAAAGATGCTATTAGATCATCTTCCTTGTATGTATCGCTTTGATACATTCCAGGACTATGTTCAACCTCCATTTCTTCCAAAACTTGTGTGGGTGAGTCCATGACATCATCCAGACAAATACTATGCGATCTGTTTTTAATCTTGGCACTCATTTTATGCATCATTTCATCATCACTGCTGTGATCTATTGGGCTTCTCAAAGTAACTTTGACTATTTCAACATTTTTGTCCACCAATTCAGTTATTTGCTGTTGAGAATATTCGCCTTCTTCTGTGCAGATTTTGCGCTCAAAACTCAATTGCTTCATGGAATCATCACTGTCAACTGCGTAATCGACGACGTCTGCCGGGAACAGAACATATTCTTCAGAGACTTCCTGCTCTAGAGGACTAGTCACTATCTCACCCAATTCTGGGGTTTCGTAAGTCTCCATAACGTCGTCGTCTTGCTGTTGAGCGGCGGAATTTAAGGACACTTCGGTGTTGACAATGTTTTTATCAGTCTGAATGATTACTTCCTCAGCATAGTCTTGGATTTCATCATGCTTTTCACCTTCAGGACTGTCAGCTATCACAACAACATTCTGATGCATTTTATCACTATCCTCAATTGTCAGTTTTGATTTAGATAACATGGCACTGGGCCCGGGACTGATTGGAGGTGTTGAAGAACTGTCATCAAATTCATTATAATCGGCACAAACCAGAGAGGTAACTTTACATACAGGCACCTGCGAAAAGAATTAATGAAGTATATATATATATATATATATATATATATGTATATATATATATATATATATATATTTAATTATTTATATATAGGTAAATAAATAAATATAAAAAAAACTTTTTCGCAAATTGATAAATATGTCCAAAAACGATCATATTAGATAATAATTGGATTCAGATATACTGAAATAAATTACCGAGCTCGTACTGGCTCCTGCATTCTGCACCTGCTGCTGTTTAACCAATTGATAAGTTGGTTTCCTCAATGGATTTCTCTTCAAAATCGACACCTTCGACAGATGCGACTCCTTTTTAACTTTCTCCTGTCCCTCTTGTCCTTGTTGCTGCTGCTGCTGCGGCACCTGCTGCTGTGGATGAGGCTGGTTGGGCTGATTGGGTTTAGTCAGGCGATTATTTCCACCATATTCCCACATTGGGGATCCGCCTCTTAAACCTAATTTTATGTAGCCGAATCTTCCGAAACCGGTAAAGGGAATCGGGTGAATATGAGGGTTTCCTCCGCCTCCGCCTCCACCGGAGCTACTGCCGGTGCTGGTGGCTATCTGGTGCAGGTGCTGCTCGTCGATTTGAACCAGCTCATCCATGCTACCTATATAACAAATAATAAAATTGTGCAAATGCATAACATAGGAATTACGGAATTAAATTATATAAAAATGTATGAAAATTTTATAATTGTGAATAACTAGTTTATAGCTTTATTCAATTTCATTACGTTACCTGGTGTTCTAGGAGTGTGGGGCGTACGAGGCGTGGCCGGATTTTCCACACTCTGTGGCCGATCAGGAATTCCAGTTTGGGAAGGTGCAGGGCTACCCATTGGAATGCCTCCAGTACTAGATGGCCTGCGCATGCCGCCACTCATCGGCGAACACCCACCTGATAAAACAATTTAATGTCATAAAAATGATCAATTTATATTTTATCATTATTTTAGAATACTTACCCAGACCTTGTACAATTGGACTCTTTGGCCCCAGCATAGGGCTGCTGGGCGGCTGAATCCCTCCTCCAGACATATATTGCTGGTTATGCATTCCACCTGCTCTAGACATAGGAGATGATGGTTGACTTAATCCCGATGTCTGTTGCAACATGCCCTGAAGAGCCGGACTTCTAGGATTCAATGGTGATTCCGGTGGTTGCTGGTGCAAAGGACTTTGTGCCATGAATGGTTTATTAGCCTGTTGCTGTTGCATTATGTGTTGTTGCATTAAATTTTGCTGCTGCTGCTGTTGCTGCATTAAATTCTGTTGTTGCATCATCTGTTGCTGTTGGATACTCTGTTGTTGTTGTTGTGTGTTCTGTTGCTGTATATTCTGCTGCTGCTGCTGCAAGTTTTGATGCTGTTGTTGTAACATATTTTGATGTTGTAGAGTTTGTTGCCTTCTTTGTTGTCCCTGTTAAAACAAAAATATAAGCATAATGTGATAAACAGCTACTAATTAAAAAATTGTACATATCAAAGACATACCAAATATATATTTCTCTGCATATGACCAGATTCTGTTTGTACCACAGTTGATACTGGCGTTCCTGTGTTTATTCCACTGGACATTATAGGTTGAGGACTTCCCAGAGGCATATGAGTTGGAGAAAATGATGGTCTCATACCTAAAGCAATCATCCATAATCAATTATAATTAACAGAGATAAGTGAATTCATCCTCAATCTTTTATTACCTTGTTGTATTCTAATTCTTTGCTGTTGCGGTTGCTGCTCAATTGTGCCTCCACTCGATGCCATTGGCCTTACAAATCTGTTTTGATGTTGCTGTTGCTGCTGCAATTGCATCTGCTGTTGTTGAGTTAACATTTGCTGTTGCTGCTGTTGATTCAATAATTGTTGTTGTTGCTGCTGCTGAAATTGATTGACAGGATTTGGACTGGGTGTTCCAGATGTCCTCGGTGACATTGTGCTGTTAATCAAAACACGATGCTGCGGTGATGTCATTCTTGATGGGGCGGGCGATACCAGCCTCGGTGAAGGAACGGGACTAAGAAAAAAATTATACACTATAATAAACTGCATTTGTATAAAAAAAACGTTAACTATGAGCTTACCCAGCGCTGCTTGGACTGAAAGGATTCTCTTCCCCTTGAGAATGTGGAGTTCCGATTCGGGGTGAAGGTAATGGATGAGGTGACATTCCACTGTTTGAATTACCATGAGGCCCGGGACTCTGTAAACAAAACAGTCATGGTTAGTTATAAATGATCAAGATAAAGTCAGGTTAAATAAGAAACAAACAATCCTCCTCACCTGCATAACAGAACCTACAGATCCAGAACCAGGACTCTGAACGTTGTGACCGGACATCATAGTACTATGACTAGGTGATTGCAGAGGCGAAGCAGGCGGAATTTGTTTCTGTTGTTGAAGCATTATGTTTGAGTGCTGGAATAAGACACAATAGAAAAGTAAGTAACAAACAAGACACATATAGCAAACATAATTATTATGTAAAATAAACTCTATGATCCTTACCTGTTGCATATGCTGTTGTTGCTGTTGCATCAATCCCGGAATTGGAACCGACATCGGCGACATTTGCTGATGTACCTGTTGCTGTTGATTATTCACCATCATACCGCCACTCATCACAATTCCTGCTTGCTGCTGTTGTTGTTGTTGCTGCTGCTGCTGCTGTTGTTGTCGAGCCTGCTGCTTATTGTGATACTCTTGAGCTAACATCCCATGCTGTCTGCTTTGTTTCCTAGCCGACTCTAATTGTTTTTGCAGTATTGCTTGCTCAGCTGACACTCGAGCCAATTCATTGGCATCCGTTTCCGAAAGTTCGTTATTAGACTTGCGGAGTTGCCTTTGTTTACTATTTAAAGACTAGAAACGACGAAAACAACAATATAATCTTATATATAAAAATGAATCGTAAAATGTGTTGGTAAGCGCATAACTCAACAACGCCTGAACCAATTTGGCCAATTCTTTTTCTAAAATGTTCATTGAAGTCCAAGGATGGTTCTTACGGCGAGAAAAATTCGAATAATTGCCGGGAAAACCCTAAAAACAACTCTTTTTTTCACATACAAACGTTTTCTAACTAAAACGTGGAATCAATTTGAGCTTTAATTTGTTTATAATGCGTAAATAAATAAGATGAGAGGAAAACTGGTAGAACGAATATGTAGATAAATAAACAGGATGACAGCTTAATTGGTAGATATGAGATAAATTTGTAGGCCGGTAAAATGGTAGATTGATAAACAGGTCGATAGGTAAATTGGTAGACAGGTAAATTGATAGACATGTGAATTTGTAGACAAGTAAATTGGAGAAAAGGTAATTTGTTGGTGGTCAGGTAAATTGGATAATATGTAAAATGGTAGACAGGACATCTGGTAGATAGACAAATAACAAGACGGATAAACAGGTTGACAGGTAAATTGGTAGACATGTGAAACGGGTTGATAGGTAAATAGGTTGACAGGTAAATTCGTAAGTCGGTAAAATGGTAGATTGATTAACAAGTTTATAGATAAATTGGTACACAAATTGTTGAACAGATAGTAGTAACGTTAAACTAAATTTAACAAATACACATCTTTGTTTAACTTTTTAATTTAAAGTAAATCACGGCAAAGCGTGAACGGGTACAGCTAGTATATAATACAATCATCAAATTCCATCTCAACTAAACTAACCTTTCTGATCTTTCTCAATTTCTGCACCTCTGTTTCGTAATATCTCAACTGTTCAGCAAGCGCATGCTGCTGCTGTGCTAACCATTGCTCGTACTGGTGCTGCGTCGCCCGATCCTGATCCGTCACAATTCTCTCAGGCGGTTGCGGTGGAGCAGGAAGCGCAGGCATTTGGAACGGGGGCACACGCCCTGGTGTCACACCTGGCGTTGTGGGAGTTTGAGGAGAAGGCTGCTGCTGTTGTTGTTGTTGTTGCTATTGAAATCAATCGACAGTACAATAAATAACTAAGATAAACACTAGATATACCACGCCAGTCAAAATGACTGGTTGGGCACTTTCAATTCAAAATTCCCATTATATGTAAAATTTGTTTGTGAAATGAAGTTACGACTTTTTAAGTTATAACTATAGAAAACATTTTGTGCATTCAAAGTTACTTTATGTATATTAGTAACAAAAATAAATATAGAAAATGTTTGATAAGAGAACCCAAATAACAATAGCCATAGATCGTATGGTTTATCGCCTACTCTCTTATCGACGACAATATATATTATTTATTCTTTATTCTTTTTTACATTGTAAAAATGCAGATTGCTGAAGTATTACTAGATTTTTACCAACAAAACAATTGTTTCGAGCTTCGTTCAACACACTAAATAAAATTTTATTCAAAGTAATTTTCAAGTATAATTATTTATTCTTTTTGTACACTGATACAAGTAAGTAACATTCGCGTGGACACAGAAATTTTCAAAAATATATTCTTGAGTAAAAAAAACTATAAACGAGAAAACTGCCATGGTTTCGACTTATTTTTATAGCGACTGTCAGTCTTCGAAAAAAGAATGGAATCAATGTTTTTTTAGCTTGTTTGGAAAATACAATCAGCGGATCTCTGAAATGTTTAGACCTAGGATTTGAAATATATGATAGTGAGGGTGAATTTTTAGATAAACAAATCAATCCACAAGACAGTGCTATTATCGACTGTAGAAATAGGAAAATTTCGTGATAAAGACAATACAGATGGATCAAGTACGTTAGTAAATGGATAGATATCACAAACAAACGTATGAGATGATGCGAGCCATTTTCTTCCAATTCTGAAGACGAATTTGGAAGTAATGCACCAAATCAGGAAACTAAAATTGGTTGGACGAAACTTTTTGGACAAGACTTGTAGTAAAGTGAAATAGGTTTTGCAGGTAGATTAGAAATTCAAAGAGTTTTCAGACACATACTCAGGCCAAATTTATAGAAAAAAGCCCGCGTTGGTACAGAGCTCATATCACTTTGTTTGAATAACATTTTCCAACAAAGGCCAGAAGCATAGTTAGCCAGTAATGGCCAAAGAAACTATAAATTTACATAAAATTCTGTCTGACATCTGATGTAGAAACAAAATATATGGTAAATAAATGGTTGCCCGTATTTAGCGAAAAACGAAGAATCAACCCCTCTAAGCGAATTTGTAGTAATGAAAATTTTTGAAACATATACCGTGAAAGGTATAAACGCAATAACCGATACTATTTTTATAATTATTCATATGGCACTGAAATTAAAATCTAAAAACGTGTCGGTAGCTGCAATTTTACGCGCAAACAAGTGGGTGCTGCCGGACACTTTTATTGAGTATTGTGCTAAAGTACTGTAAAAACTATTAAAAATTAATATATTTTGTTATTTGATAATATCTATAAGTTTATTTAACAGCTGTAATTAGTTTTGTTCAACTTAAAAACACAATAAATTTGTTTTCTTAGAGACCAGTCGTTTTGACTGGTATTGGTAGAAATAGGTATATACAAACGGCTGGTATATCTAGTGCTAAACAAATGTTTTTGAAATAATATCATACCAATATCTCAGGAAATCGAAATATCTATATAAAAAGTAGAAAATACTTGCCATAGTGCCTCCTGTTGTCAATTGCCCAGGTCTCTGAATTTGACCAGGCTGGGTCCACTGTCCTTGTGTAACCACGCCTTGTCTTTGAAAAACTCTTGTAATCTGACCCCCAGTTTGCAGCGGTAGAAGTCCTTGAGCTATTAAACAGTATCAACGTATTACACACATTACAAAATCAATTACCATCAACTGATCCCTATTATATTACCTGGTACTCCTTGAGGAGGCGAAGGTACAGCCGCCCTGTTGCCAGCAGCGCCGCCAGACAACACATCGGCCTTCAGTCTTTCGAAATCTTGCTCCGAAAGCAAAGGGTGTCCCTGCTGCTGCTGCTGCTGCTGCTGATCTACCGACGGCGTGTGCTGCAGCTGCTCTCGCTTCTCCTGCTCCAGTAGCTCTTCCAGCAGCAGTGGCTGCTCCTGCGAAGTGCCGTGCTGCGAGGGATTAGTGCGATTGATGGTAATAATGGATATATGAAATATGCTCGGAACTGATTGTGAAGGGGAAAAAGATTCTGATTTGGCCCTAAGACGGAATTGCTTTGAAGTCATAAATGCGTTTAAAATCAAATACTATTTTTATATAAATCATATTCATGAGGTGACACTTTTATAAATAATTATTACGTATAAAGTTGGTTCCGATTCTTTTGTCGAAGCTCAGATAACTAATGTGGAAAGTGTGCAGTAAAATAAATAAAGAATATTAATTTAGCAGACGGCGAAGTAAAAGATTTTCGGCCTGACCAAGAAACATCAGAACTAGGTTTACATTTGGAAAAGAACAACCAACTCGAAAGAAAGCAAAAATAATTTTATGCAAACAAGGTTAAGGCTAATGTTTTTTTGGTTTAGGAATTATATACATTGATTACATTTCAAAGGGTTAAACAGCAACTGCTCAATACCATGCTAAAATTTTGCAACCTTTAAAGGGGTGCGAATTAAAGGCGAGGAAGATATAGTTTCATTGCTATGGCACACCAGTAACTGTTGTGATGGATAAAATCCAAGAATTGAAGTACGAATTGATAACCCATTATTCTACGTTTAAAAAATGGGTGTGTGGTAAACGATTTGAGAACAATTAATAAATGACTGAAGCTGAAAATCAGTATTTTGAAGAACTTGTAGCCTTAATGTAAACTACGTTAAGAAATAAAGGTCAGACCGAAAACTTTTTACTCAGGCCTGGTATAAATAATAAACATATAAAATTAATATTAATTTTGTGAAAATATTACTCTCATAAAATTTTGTAGTGCTTGAAAACCAAACATCATATGTGCAAAAAGAAATCAAACTGAGATTACATTCTGACATGCCAAAATATCATGCAATAAAAAACCTACCCTTCATAAAATCATGCTTAAAAACTTGCTGAAAGTAATTAATACATAAGTAAATACGTTACAGAAACTCCATGCAAAAAATACTCGTAGAACAATTTATAACAAATAATGGATTGATTAAAATCGAATTAAAATTGATTTATAAAATTTATTAAAGAATTTTAGAAAGCGTTATTTCTGGCAAAATACTGAATATTTTGTTTGTTACCACAGTCACATACTATTACTTATAGACAACACCAAGATAAATAGATTTAGAGACAGAATATTTTTTTTGCTCTTTACTACAAGTATGAAAAGGCAACTGAAATTTCATTCAAGAAACGCCTCGTGTGTATTGCCATTTGTCTGTGTTACTATTAGTACATTTGCTGAAAAACAACCGTAAATCATTAAATCAATTTACCCTGCAGTCGACTACAAATAACAGCATGAAACGTATTTTTTAAAATAATTATCATTTATCCCTTAGATTGTTATTATCTGGAGCATCAGGGCGTTCTCGCGCGTTTTTACCTGCAACAATAGAGGCGGACGCCTGCGCTGCTCCACGATTTGCTGCTGCTGAAACGGCTGTTGCTGTTGCTGCTGCTGTTGATTAGCATTGATTCCGAATCGCTGTTGTTGTTGTTGATGATGATAGGAAGCGTTGATGTTGATGTTTCCGGTGTTGTTGTTGTTTGATAGATGGTAAATTGGACGATTGTGAGTCGAAGAAGAAGAAGGATGTGGTAGCATACCGACACCGATCTAAATTACCAAACACCAAAAAGAGATACCAAAAAAAGGAAAACAAACGAAAAACATAAGACCGAGTAAAATGTAGATCGTTCATATGGTGTACGAGGCGTTAATGGAAATTACATGAGGTAGGTAATGTAAAATGGTTTTAAAAAATATATAGCAGCAATATTTTTCGAAGAAAAAGTCGTATGGCCTGGATATATAAATCTTCACCATATTTAATACTTCAATTTGTAAACTTATAGTAACGTTCTATTTTCATAAATACGACTAATATAAACGATAAAATTAACAAACAGAACCTCAAGTTGATGGATTTATGATAAATTCGCATGATGATAGAGTTAATAGTCGAAACCAAAATCCTAAAATATAGAATAGACCAATCAAAACAACAGACCAGTAATCTTGAGGTTCTCCTTGTATTATGAAAAAATAATAAATAATATTTTGCGAAAATAATGGATAATGTACTGGTAATGAAATACCCCGTCACACCTTAGAAAAATACGCATGCACCTTATAATTTTATATATAATTTATTATAATATATAATTTAATCAATGAATTATAATTAAAGCAGATCAGAAACACAAAACCCATGCAAATTATCAATTATAATCCGTGACACACAACAATTATGAAATTCGATAAATATATTTAACTCCTTTCAACAATTTTTAACGACAAAATCAAAAACATCAAATCATCTTTGTTTGTAAAAAATTTCAATCAGAAAAATCCACAAATCTTGCATACACGATAATAAAACTGATTTTTAAGTGGTGGTGTAAGTGGTAAAAGAATTACCTTCAATGTCAAAATAAACAGAAAAACAATGCAGTAAATGAAGTCTGCATATAAATACAAAATTTATTAATAAATATATAAGGATAAATTCAATTTTCAACTCTTAAAATAGGCTTAAATTCAATTTGGAATCCTTCGTTTCACATAGTCCATTAGGGGGTATTCTAGTGTAGAAATTCAAAAAATCGATTTTTTTTATTTCATATTTTTAATGTTTAACTATCTAAGAAAATTTGAATCATTTTCAGAGATATAGGCATTTTACTAACTCGGTCTCCATACTGGTTTGGCTTCACGCAAAACTTTAAATGCGTTACTTTTTCAGTACTCTTGTCACGATTTCTGGAGTTCTACTCGACCAATTTATTTGAAATTTTCAGAGAGTCTTATTTATAGATCTATCTATAGTCTGAACTAGAATCATCCCGGAAATTCCTATTTTACTATTTTTAAAAAAATCGAGAAACTCAAAGAAACAGTAAAAAAAACCTTTTTTTCAAACAGTCGCCAATTTGCGAAAAAAATTTTTGTATACTCATCGCTAGTTCAGCCGATTGCGACATCATGGTAGATTAATAATCTTTTTATTTTTTGCATTTCCAATGGCTAGGAGGGCTGAAATCATGTCAAGACTGAGGTGCCAATTTTTGAGACCACCCACTTCATCAGCTGCCACTTTTTACAATTTTCAACTTTTTTATTATTTAATTTTTGTTTGTATTTGAATAATATTAATAAACAAGTGGTAAAAAATGGATAGTAAAAACATTCATTGCTTTCTTTTACGACACTTAAAAATGACCTAAAATTCATCGCTCTACACTAGAATGCCCCTTAATTTGTTATTTATTACACAACCACTCATTTTCAATCTCAATAGACAAACACACATAGCTCGAAATATAAAATATGCACTCAATCAAACATCAATTAATAAAAACAACCAAATTTGTTATTTTTGTTACAACTGACCTGTGATTGAATGGGTCCTGGATACGGCGGCGGCGGTCCTGGATAAGGAGGCGGCGGCGGCGGCGGCTGCAGCCTGACCTGCTGCTGCTGCTGCTGTATGACTGGTGTTTGTGCCTGCTGCTGCTGCTGAGGCTGCTGCATACGTTGCTGAGCCAGACGCATTTGCATGCGCTGTTGTTGCACTGACAGAATCGAAAACATAGAAATAATTCAATGTGCTAATATTTACTAAACAATATTTTCAATTTACCATGTCTCTGCTGCTGAGCATAAAATCCTGCCTGGGGATAGCTGATTGTCTGTATTATTATCGGTTACAACGCCCACAGCACCATCCGGAGACATCAGACGAGTACCTGGTGCCATCGGATTACCCATAGCCGCAGCTTGCTGAACCTTAAATTAAACATTGCGTCAAAAACACATTGCATACAATTTTATCATTTTCCTATCTTACCTGATGCAGCATTTGTTGCTGTATGTGCTGCTGTTGTTGCAAAGAAGGAAGTTGCATGATTTGCTGTTTAGGTGTCACCAATCTCATCTGTTGACCAATCAACTGTGGTTGCACTTGCTGCTGTTGAGGCTGTTGCTGTTGTTGCTGTTGAGATAATTGTTGCTGTTGTTGATGTACGAATTGTTGTTGGAGTTGTTGCTGCTGAAAAAATATTGATACAAGATAAATAAAAATATATACACAACTATAAAAAATAAAAACAGTTTGATACTTACTACAAGTCCAGGTTGTTGTTGAATTTGCATAGATGTGACAGGAACCTGTGAAACCGTTTCCGGTGGTAGATCTTTTTTGATGCTTTTCTCAATAGCTCTTATTTTAGTTTCTTTGGTTTTAGCTTCAGATTTTTCAATGCTTAAACAAATAATCACTCTTGAAAATTACTGAGAACAAGATGCGGATGCTGTAAATATAACTTTTAGCCTGTTTACCTTTCTTCCTCAGGTTCACGTTTTGCATGTTGCCTTTCCTGGTCTGGATCTGGCTCATCAAGCACTAAACTATCTAAAATGTTATCTTTGACACCATCTGTCAAGCCGTCTAACTCAGGATCTGCATATTCTAATATGTTGAAGTCTGCACCCATCTCAGCAGTCAAAGATACTAGGAAAAGAAAAAGTTATTTAATATAATGTAAAAAAAATATTCCAATTATTATTTTATTACCTAATAATTCATCATCATCATCATCTCCCAAACCGCCTAATAATTCTCCTACTCCTTCTTCGACCTCAGCCATTCCTCCATGTTCTTGTTCCAATCTATCCAACTCTGCTTTCACACTATCAGGTATTTCTTGACCACCGGCAGTTGCTGGCCCAGCCACAGGAGACGGTTGTGCAGATGCAGAACTCGTACTCGTTTTTGCAGCAGTTGTTACCGCTGGAGACATAGCATTGGCTGCTGCTGCTGCTGTTGCTCCAGAGTTGGAGTAGAGTAGCAGGTGCTGACGATGGTGATGGTGGTATAGTAGCACCAGTGGTAAGGGTCATTTGTGGACTTGCTGCAGAGGAAACAAATATGAATAGAGTGTTATTTGTGTAACTAACTAATATTTACTGATAGTTTGCTCTTACAAGCACTACGATTAATTTGTGGAATTCCAACTGCTCCCATCCTATTTAAAGCAGCAATCCTTTGCTGGAGTGCAGGATCTTGCTGTTGTTGTTGCTGTTGTCCTTGAAACTGCATTCTTTGTTGAGGCATAAATTGTTGCTGTTGCAATACTTGTCTCGTTGATTCTGAAAATATATAAATTTATTTTACAATGTCTGAAGTAAAGGCACAATTTTACATTATAATTTATGTACCACTAGTCCAGGTTGTTGTAGTGCTATTCTTGGCATACCAGATTGTTGCTGGATTAAAATCTGTCTTGCTTGTTGCATCTACAAAGAAAACGCAATTTCAAATAAAAAAAAAAATTAGACCAATAAAAATTAATATCTATCGTACCTGTTGAACTGGATGCCTAACACCAACAATATTTCCAGTTCCCTGTATCTGCTGTTGTTGCAACGCCTTTCCCGTAGCTAAAGGTCCCCTAGGGCCTCTCATCATAATGCTACCTGGAGGAAGTGGTTGTCTAAACGTTCCATCAACTGAAGCAGGAGACACGGAGCATTGGTGATGAGTAGATGCTGTTGTTGCTGTTGGACATTCCCGTTGAGATTATTTCTTGATTTACTGTTTGT